TAGAATTTGAGATAACACAATGAGTGGATGCTCCTGTACCATTGCAAATGGTTTGAGCCATGTTGTTCAAAGTTTAGAACCATCGATTACTATCATATTGCGGATCCCAATTCACTTGTCAGTGACTTGATGGATTTGTGCCATGTTTTGGTTTGGCCACCCCTAACTTCCTTCCAACCTATTCCTACATGGCAAACCATAGTTTGACGGGGCAGTCGTTGGTTGAACATTCGTAACACTTATCCCAACCATCCCAATTGATGAAGTTTCAACACTTCATCAATTGATTTGCCATCCTTACCTAATGCTCGTTTCCTAACGACAGCATTGCCTACTCAATAGGCCCAGGGCATACGTGCTATGCTTCGATGACAACGATGATCGAATACTTGTAACCTACCAATATCCTCAACTCTTATCGGCCATGTTTCACATCCCCACATAGTAGCTTCTATTGATTCGGATTAGTGAGCACGTTCTCTCACAGAACCAGAAATTTTTTCCCACCAAAAACAGGTATTCCGAGGGATTCATAGAGAAGTACTGAAGTATTGAATTTCATAGTAGCACAGTAGTTTACAAACCCGAAACAGGACAAATTTTTCATTCGATTATCACTCAAAAGTGATCACTAAAAGAAGTTTTTAAGAAAAAACCACAATTCTGGCGAAAAAAAATTTGTAACCACTATTACACTTTACTATACTCATTAAAATCATCAACCAATTATTGTTAGACCACCATTAGAAACCTGGAAGCACTGGACGGCCGTTTTCTCCTGGTATGGGACTACTCATCAACAATGCGCATCCACGACTTCTGCACCTCGCAGGATTCGAACCCGGGACCTAGATCAGTCAGAGTTAGACATTAACACCGTTGGATACCGGCCCAGTGGTCCAATGGTTAGGCGTCCGCGTCCAAGACCGAAGGCCCCGGGTTCGAATCCTACGAGGTGCAGGAGTCGTGGATGCGCACTGCCACTGATGAGTCCAATACCGGGACGAAACAGCCATCTTTCAGTTCTTCCAGGTCTCTAATGATGGTCTAACAATGATTGATTGATGATTTCAAATGTGTAAAAACACAAAACTCACAAAACTGAAAATATACTCATTTCCACAAATAATCGAAGATAAATGCCTGTCCTATTTTCTCTCTGATTACATTGATCAAGTTACATGAACATGATTTCTCATGTATGTACATTAAAACAATAGAATGTGTATAATTCTTGTAATTGTATTCCATTTTGCCATAGTAACACAAAAGTACATCAACTAATAGTTTGACCTAATTTGTCTTCTCTTTTATTTTTCCTCAATTCATTTGTAATTTTGATGAGTTGAACTCATAAATTTTTAAAGTAAACAAAATCCACCTAATGAGAAAGATTAATTCAACAGAAAATTACCTCGATTTTGACAAATTTTATTTTCAAAGTTGTACACTTGTAAATATGCACATTTTCCTTAAATGGATAATGATTACAGTCATAATGATAGTAAGAATTACGCTGAAACAGTTCAGTCAGTCAGTCAGTTACAACGTGGAAGTTCGTACATGAATATATAAGTTCAGGTTGCCATACCACGTTAGCACAAAGATGCAACTGTTAGTTCAAATCCCATAATGGTAGAGATAGTAGAAGAATTACTGCAACTGGAAAAGATTAGTGTTCGAAGATATGATGTGAGAAGTATAATTCATCGAAATAAATTTAACAAGAGAAAGATAGGCGTGATGAGGAATGTAGATGGTCAGAATGAGAGAGAACACAAAGAATGAATGCACCTGCACTTGTATGTAGATAAAATAGAAAGCAATGAAATGCAATGTATCAATTGGAACCATCAATCAATCATTGTTAGACCACCATTAGAAATCCAAAAACACTGGACAGCCGTTTCATTCTGGTATAGTGTGCATGCACAAACCTCGCACGCGAGAATCTAAACCTGATCTTTCGGTCTCGTAAGCGAACGCCTAACCTCTACACCACTGAACCGGAATCCATTAGTGTTTATGTCTAAGTGTAATCAATCTAAGGTACTACATAACTTCACCCAGTATCTTCGGCAGGTAACTGCCTACACTCAACAGGGTTGAATTCCACTGTTTGTGACTTCTCACTACAACTCTGAGAGTTTGCTCGCGCAGCTAGTCATGGATGCGCACTGCTAAAGAGTCCCATACTAAGACTTGACGACCGTCCAGTGCTTTCTGGTTTCTAACGGTGACCTAACAATGATTGATTCCCCGATTTCAATCCAATACTTGTTTTATTTAAATTTACAATGATGATCTAAATGGCTTGTTTGTATTTATCGCATTTAATAAGTAAAGATAGAAAAAAAGGTATATTCAATAGAATGTACATCACTTTGTTACATTTCTATTCATATATTTTATGTCAATGAATCAATCAATCATATGAGCTGTTCTTTCTTTTTTTGCTCTGATGGTCATAATTTTCAAGTGAAAATCATTGCTTTATACAGTTTTTTTCCACATTGAATCAAAAATTGAATCATAGTTGAACAAAATACTTTTTTGATTCAAAATATGTTTTGTTTTAAATGAAACGTTCTTATTTTTGTATAAAAATGAAAAAAAGAAACAGTTTAGCTTATGTTATCTTCTAACTTGATAAGGTACCTACACTGCTTCTGTTTTCGAACCGTTGGATGCCGGCCCAGTGGTCCGATGGTAAGGCGTTCGCCTACAATGCCGAAGGTCTCGGGTTCGAATCCTGCGAGGAGCAGGAGCTGATGAGTCCCATACCAGGACGAAAAGGCCGTCCAGTGCTTCCAGGTTTCTACTAATGGTGGTTTAACAATGATTGATTGGTGATTTCAAATGTGTAAAAACACTAAATATCAGTCATGTGATGGGGCATGGGATGAAGTCCTATTTTTTTATGGTAGACTCAAACTATTCATCAATAAGCTATCATGATCTTACATGAAGCGGGATCCGAATGAGTATAATATCGACTAACTATGTTCACATTCAAAATTTCAGTCAAGTTGTATGACATGACTCATTTCTTAATCAATATCCCAAATGAATTACTATGGCATTACTGATATGGTAGTCTTCACAAATCGTGACTACTCACTGTAGATTTGAAGAATCTATTTGGTAACTACTAGTCATCAAGAAGTATACGAATATTGATCACTTCAATGTAATTTATACTAAAATGTGTGATCTGTCTGTTAGGAAACAACCCAACCAACAAATGTTGGTTCAATGGACTAAAGTTTAAGTGAGACCTGAATATTCTTGATTCAATCACCAGTTGAGTGGTGGATGTTTGCTTATGAGGAGTCCTATGTGAAGAAAAGGGACAACAGTCTCTTTCTTCATGGTAATAGATAGTTTTTTCTAAATAAACTGAGTTTACGATGTAAAATGTGATGATTAGAGAACATTGCTGGTTTTGTGTAAAAGTTATTTTTAAAAAATTGATTTCATCATTAACGTAACATGTAGAGTGTTACTTCAAACTGAACATTTTCAAAACGTTTGTACATTTTCATCCATGCAAAGTAATATGTCTTCTGTTGAACTGATCATATCATCATTTCTATAGTCAGATAATATTGACAAACAAACTTTGATCGCTGAACCGATCACTGCAAATATATTCTAGTATAGTGTAATTATTAAACTCTGTTAACTAGTATATATGACATTGACTGATTCAATCCATTTCCTGAATGTATAAATGATATGCTTGTCAAATGATATGATTATAACTGTTACGAGTTCACCTTTGTTGGTAAGCGAGAGCGAAGACAATTGATGCAATGACACGATAGTCTACTCTAATCCTAGCGTCTTAATGTCCCACGAAGTAGAAGAAGAAGAATAAGTCTTGATAAGGTGTAGAAAGTGTATTTTACAAGCACCCTGAGAATATGAGGTCCACAAACACACAAATCGAGTTTAGTTATACATGATAGAAACGTCCTTGGGAGAGCCGCAAAAATAGCATACTAAAATAATACATCAACCAATCATAGTTAAGGATTTCCCGGGTGGGAAATGACATCTCAAGGTCAGCTGATCGACCCATGCATTAAAACATAAAATCCAAAAAATTAGAACCTTTATCATAAGTCCCCAGCAATGAAGAATTGGTTTTTCCTGGACATATTATCTGTTAATGTTGCTGTTATTCAGAAACAGTTGTTCTTTTTTTCATTGAAATGATCCACTACTTTTAAATGTTTTTGTGAGTAGTATATCTTTTGAGAGTTTAATTGCTATTCTTGAGGTGTTGTTAGACAAACCTCAAATAATCTATTCCTCTACAAATAGTAGAAGCTTTGGTTTTTAGTTTATATTAGTCTAGAGATATATTTTTTGATTTCTGGTTGGTTAATTTCATTTTTAGTTTAGTTAGTTTTGTTATACTTCGCAAGGTCATGGGATAAAGTAAGTTAACAATCACACTGAATGGCTAGCATCGATTACACTGAATTTATAACATGGAAATCCTAATTTTAAACCATCGGTTTAAGGTAGTCGGTGTTTTTCACTGAACTTGAATTTATTCTTCTATTGACCTCGGTTTTTCAATGAAAAATGACTTGAAAATTTGTGTCGATATAATTCTACTTGATCGATAAAATTAGACCGGTGTTCAAGAAAACGACTGTATTATACATGATACTAGTCAATATTTGGTGATCAGTCAGTTGTAAGTAAATATCTTAGTCTTACAGGAGGTTAGTCGCAGATCGGACAGTTCACTGGTCATAATATCTCAGACTTTAAATTCATCGGTGACCGTCAAGTCCTTCATAGTCTCAGGCAGCCCTTGCTGACGAGAGCCAACTCGTACGAAATCAGAATAAATCGGTATCCCCCCCCCACTAGTTAACAAACTTCATTCACCTAATATCATTACAAAATGTGTTGTGTAAATTAGTTTTAATAAATAATTCATATACAGTTCTTCCATTCTTTTTTCTCTTCCATACATCTAGGCAATTTACAGTATGCTCGGTGCTGATGAATCCACCGTGGATTTAAGTCCTGAAGCGCGTACCGATGAAATATTTGAAAAGATGGATAGTAATGCAGATGGAGTTTTAACAAGAGAAGAATTTATGGATGGTTGTATGGCGGATAAACAACTTTATTCCATGTTGCTTGCTGATGAACCAGCTGAATAATAATAATAATAATAATAATAATAATAATAATAATAATAATAATAATAATAATAATAATAATAATTAGTAAACCATTCATCAAAATGTCAAAATTAATCGATCGATCGATCAATCAACCAATCAAATCAATCAATCAATCAATCGAATTTTTACCAACCACCTCCCCTGCACCGATCCACATTACCAAAAAAAACTATTCAGACCTATTAATGTTTTTCTTTTCTTTCCATCGATTTCTAAATGTGTGTCTGTATGTCTGTGTGTGTGAGTGTGTACATATATCTGTCTATCCAAATTATTCCAAGTAAACACTTACAAACAAACAACAAACAAACAAAAAACATTAGTCATTATGAAAAGCAAACAGAATAAACAAGCAGGGTCATTCAGCCAGATGTTCTGTTTTTCAAACACAACAACAACAACATGGGCATTTATTCCCGAAAAAACAGACAGACACACACACACACAACCTGTATTCACTTCTAACAACTGCCAACTTGTTACTACTTTTTTTAAACATGATTCAAGAGATATTTATTGAACAAAAACCACATCCTATCCGCCTTTTTCCTTGCGTACGCACTCATACACACATACACACTCATAATACCATCATCACCTACTTACGAAAATATTATGCAACTTTTATAATAATAGTAATAATAATAATCCTAACAAGCAGTTATTCTTATTTGGTAACTTTCGAGAAAATAGTACGCTGACACAAACACACACACACAGAGGATATTACCAGTTAGTTTTGTTTTAAACAAACAAAATTGTCCAATTTTTTATTCAATTAGAACCAGAAACCAAAAAACAAAACAAAACATGACTGATTGAACAATGCATTCATAGTAATCTATCTATGTATTGAAAATTCAATATCCATCCCATTTCAATAAAAAATGGTATTTTACTTTTTGTAAAAAAAAAACAGTGTTTCTACATTATCGATTTTTTCGTTTACTTTAAATCATTGTGACATAATGGCATATACTACATGCACACATGCACACACACACACGTACACGTACACATTTAAGTATGTATGAAGTTCATTTGTAAACCTAACAATCAATCGGTCTTCATTTTTCATTTCAACAAATTTTTTTTTACAATGAATAATGTGTTTACTACTACTATTAATATGAATTATTGCTGACATTGTGTTTGTTATTGCTAAAAACGCTTATTCATTATTTAATCTCCTATCTATCTATCTATCTATCTATCTATATATTGAATGAATGAATGAATGAATGCAAGTTTGTTTATTATTATTTTCTCTTTTTTTTAGCATCCATCATGCTTCAATGATCAATGATCAATTATTGAACCATTGAACATTGATCGCTTTATTTGAAGTATCTATTTATCGCTTCCTAATACAACACTTTTTTGTTTTAATTTAAATCAAAATGCAATTATATTAGGAAAGAATTGTTTTTTCTTTGCTGTTTATTCATTTAAAACAAAAAAATCAAAAAAAAAACAAATGACTAGGCTACAAATATTATTATTAATTTACACGTGAACAGAAAACATTGTTTTCATATCTCGCTCTGTCTCTCTCTCTCTCTCTCCGCTCATCATTTGTTGTAATCAATTTCTTCTTCTTCTTAAAGATACATTTGATTGTGTGAAATGATCGATATTGATTGATTGATTGATTGATCGATTGATTCTTGTTTGTTTGTTTTCATTGCTCATTCAATGTTCAATAAATAATAGTTCAGCATAATTTTTTTTACATGTTATTGGAAATTTATTCGCTCTCTTTTCAATATTGATTGAGGAACATTTTGATAAATTTGACTGATATCAATCAAGTCACTGCCACTAGTCACTGCTACTACTTCTGCTACTCCTACTCCTACTACTACTAATACTGATCTTGTTTATATCATGAATATACAATGGATTGTGTGCATTGTTTCTAAAAATAATCGATTTCTCTCTCTCTGTATTTTCTCCATTGCCTTTTTGGTAACAACACTTGAAGCCTTCTTCTGTTCTACTATTGTTATTCATCATCTTCTTCTATGGGGATTTGATAAGCCATAACTAACTAACTCTAACCACTCATTCATTCATTCATTCATGCATTGTTTTGAATTCTGTCTTCACCGAATTTGTTTGTGTGTGTGTGTGTGTGTGTGGAAATTGAATGAAACAAACACAATGATTTTGTTTTTACTTTGTAATTTAATGTTCTCGTCTTTTTTTTAAAAGAAGTAATATATATATATATATATATATATATATATATATAAATATATATATATATATATATAAATAAATATATATATATATATATATATATATATAAATATATATATATATATATAAACAAATATATATATATATATATATATATATGATGAATAATAAGTATACAAACCGTACATTTGTTTGTTCTGTTTACTGTCTCATGTACATAGATAATAGGTACGTACGTAGGTAGGTATCTATGACCATCCATCCTTCTTGGGTTATTGTTGTATTACAATTTGGGCCGCGCGCGCGCACACACACACAGTATGATAGACAAATAAAAACAAGTTTTTTTAATCAACCAACCAACTTAACTAACATAAAACATAGTAGTAACAGGCAGTATATATATATAGCGGTGTTGATTGTCTTCTTACGTATTACATTGATGAGATATATATATATATATTGAGGGTGCATTGGTTGGATAAAAAAAAATGGTCATCTCATTGTTTCCTTCTATAGTCAACTTGTTATATATATATATACTTTTACTTGTTAGTAGACAGTATTTTCATAGATTAACTAACACATTGTTCATGTTTATAACTGTCGCCATTAGGTAAGTAAGTATGTGGTGGTGTTGTTGTTCATTCAGATTTATCGGCATTTATCATCACTATTGTTTTACAATGGGTTATTACTTTTATCACTACTGATATTATTATAAGTAGTATTGTTATTATCATCTTAGTTTTTTTTTAAAACAACCATTCAATTTCTTTTCTTCTTATGAAAATATTTTTAAAAAAAAATCATTCCTGTCTTAATTTATCTGGTACCAATAGGTAATATATTATTTCACGCACAGCCTACTCTATTTCCATCTATATAGTGTGTGAACAGATGTAATACATATATATGTATATATATTCAAGTACATATGTACTTCTGACAGTGTATAAGGTATCACACTGTATCAGCCTAAGTTCACTTCGTATCACTACTACTATTACTATATATATATATATATATATATATATATATATATATATATATATATATATATATATATATATCATCGGCATACACTGATAACATACACACGTACACACACACACACAAAAGAAATCGACAGCATAAGCCGAATAGAATTACTTCAAACAAGAATTCCAATGATTAGTTTATTTTATTCGATCAATAATAAATTGGGGGGAAATAATTTTTTTTAGAAAATAAACGCACAATACAATATGATTTCATTGATATATTTTTCCCTCTGGTCTATTCTATTGTTTTTGGTTAGCGATTATTTGTGGTTGAGAGGATTGATATTCTGCGGGATGGAGTCGCTAACCCCAGCATGGCTAACCCTTCTCTTTTATCATGGGCTTTGCACTGTAAGTAGTCGTAGCACTCGTCAGTAGTATATATGTATATGATATTCGGGGGCTGAGTTTTGGAGGTTTGTGTTTTTACACATTTGAAATCATCAATCAATCATTGTTAGATCACCATTAGTAGAAACCTGGAAGCACTGAAAGATGGCCGTTTCGTCCTGGTATGGGACCACTCATCCACGACTCCTGCACCTCACAGGATTCGAACCAGGGACCTTCAGCATTGTGCGCGAACGCCTAAACATCGGAAAACTGGGCCGGCATCCAAGGGTGTTAATGTCCAACTCTGATTGATCTAGGGATTTTGCGCGACCTCACCCATTTGTCTTTGGTAGTTACTGCCTACACCCGACAGGGTTGAACTCCATTGGTCACGTCTTCTCAACTAGAACTCTGAGAATTTCCTCACGAAGCTAGTCACTACTAGTGAGCACTGTTAGGATATTTTGGGGCAGAGTTTTGGAGGTTTGCCTTTTTACACATTTGAAATCATCAATTCTCGGAGTTCTAGTTGAGAAGACGTGACCATTGTGGAGTTCAACCCTGACGGGTGTAGGCAGTAACTACCAAAGACAAATGGGTGAGGTCGCGCAAAATCCCTAGATCAATCAGAGTTAAACATTAACACCACTGGATGCCGGCCCAGTTGTTCGATGGTAAGGCGTTCGCGCACAATACCGGAGGTCCCGGGTTCGAATCCTGCGGGGAGCATGAGTCGTGGATGCGCACTGCTGGTGACTAGTCCCATACCAGGACGAAACGGCCGTCTTTCAGTACTTCCAGGTTTCTACTAATGGTGGTCTAACAATGATTGATTGATGACTTCAAATATGTATATGACTCAAAAACTTATATCTATTGAGCAATAGTCTTACGTAACAATGTTACGGTTTCACAGAGGATTACAAAAAAAAATAACTAAATGATTAGATAAGGAAAAGATCTGGTAACTCTAATAAATGAAGTACTTGATTGTGAATAATTGAAAACATAATTAAGAAGCGATTGTCAAATTACAACATTATTGATTGAATTAGAAAGTTAATGAAATATTTTGACAATAAGTGAATTTTGTGGTAGATTCAAGAAATACACAATGACTTACTATAAATTGAATAAAATTAGGAAATGTTTTACATAAAAATGATGGGTCAAGTTAGACTGAGGGAGTGAATAAATTTTGTTCAAGTGTAAAGATTACTTATTTACGCCTGTTACCCCGAATCGAGCATAAGCTGCAGACCAGTATCCTCCAATCTACTCTGTCCTGTCACTCCCTTTCCAATTCTGTCCAACTTTTGTTCATTTTTCTCATGTTTGTCTCCATATCTCGGCATAATGTTTTCCTCGACTGTCCTCTTTTCCTTTGAGGGTTCTAAGTGAGGGTTTGTGGTGTGA